ATAATTTAATCTTAACAAAATCTAACAATTTAAGGCTCATTAGTCAATAAAAGTCACTTTTGCACACAGATGAGACTGCAGACGAAAAGCTTTTAAATTAAATAAAACTTCTCGGCCGAAGCTATTTTACTTTATATCCAAAAAATGGCGCGTTATGTGAATATCTCCTGATGATTCATCTACTCGTGATGCGTAAAATGTCGCGTCACCTAATACTTAAAATAAAAAAATCTTAAAAAGGGGTTTTCTTATAACTTTAATTAAAGTGCAAATCTAACTTTTGTGCCAGAGGCCGTATCTCATATATTTTTTTTCTTTGCGATAATGTTGCAATAAAAACAGTAGGTATTACTAGCCCCCGCTAACAGAGCGTGAGTCTCTCACGTGACCTGCTCTGATGAACTAATGGTCCGACTATAAATAGATATATTATTTTATTTTAGCGTACTTTAAAACAATTGCACAAAAATTTGTATACTAGATTTGATTTTGTAGTTCTATAAATGTTATAAGAAATATTTTTTACGCCATATTAAATCCTTGCAGGCTATGTTTACTGACAGATATCTAATCCACGTGGAGCCGGTTATATTGAAATTAGAATACAGTCTGACGACATAACGCGTTACGTTACGAGGCGATTTACTCTCGATAAGTTATTACTACAAATAAAAACAATAATAAAATATCAAAGGTTGCAATATAACTTCATAACAAAATATTGTCGTAATTTATTTAAAATTTATATAAATTTACCTTACAATTGTGTGTGTTCTTTTCAGTTATAAAACCTATTATTAGATGATTTATGTATGAGAGTATTAAAGAACCCATCGTATAGTTTTTACCAGTTCAACTAGCGTGTCCGTTGATACAGCAATGAAGCAGTATTGTGGATTTGAGTCCAGTCTATGTTATTGTTCTTTATATCTTAAAAAAAATTGTATGTATATAATATTATTATCACGTTATGTGTTTTATAACTACACAATATCTAACACTTAATGTTCATAACTGAAAGATAAAGACATCTTAATTAGATGGTATAAGACTTTATCTTCTATCAAGTGAGTCTTATGCTTGTCTTTTCTTAACATAAATGATATTATAGAAGAATACCAGTTAGTAATAGTAGCACAGAGGCATTCTCGGTAATTATATTTTCGTTACGATCAAATAATGCTATCGGCCTTTTAAGCAAAAAATAACACTGTCACTGACTTCTAATTAAGTTATGGCTGAAGCTATTCTTGGTAGCGGTTCTATTTCAAACGAAATTTTCTTTGTGGTTAGAAATAATAAGAGATGTTTTCTATATAAAAAGATATACGAAAATCGATTTTATCGCGCTTAAATTACTTCCTACGAACTCTATATCTCTAATTGATATTTATAATCTTTATTAAAGAGTTGTAATCTTGTAATTGGACTACCTAAAGTCTAAAAATAAATCATCGAAAGTACATCAAGAAGGTACTTTCGACAAGTTCTTGTTGCTGAAAGAAATGTCGGAAAGATGCCAGGATTTTGTCAGAAATAAAAATTAAACGAAATTTTAAATACGTCATCGTGCATTTACAATTTAAATGACATTATTTATTTTCGATATAATAGTTTTTCATATTTGCGTAGTTTAAGTAATGAAATTAGTTTGAGAAATATAGATTACAATTGTTGCCACTGGTTTTATAAATTGCTCGGTTCATGCTAAGTTTATTTTAATACCGACGCATAAAATATTTTGACAACATGATTGTTAAATACTGTCTGTAGTTTACGCGAGTAGGACACATTTAAATAAAACACTTTAACGGTTTAAAACGCGATATATATTAGTTAAACTTATTTCGAAATTATTTGAACTACGGCCCGACGTTTCGGATGCTTCGCAGCAGTGGTCACGGGGAGACATCTCCAGTCTACCACTCAGTCTCCCCGTATAGTTTCCAAATGAGTTTAACTAATATATATCGCGTTTTAAACAGTTAAAGTGTTTTATATAAACATGATTGTAACTTATTTTTCAATAGTTAAGTTCTTTTCAAGTCAATGTAAAACGGATGGGAAAATGTATCCATCCCACTCCCAAAATAGAAAAAGCGGGAAATCAATTCACATTCATAAATCCTTTCCTAATATAAATTCCCTAACGCAAAAATAACTATACTTGCTTACGTAACGAAACCTAAATAACTTATTGCATAAGCTTGTGCTCTTTATTTGTCGTTAATTAATTTTTCTCAGTAAAAGTTTTCCTTTGATCGTGTTTTCCTAGAAAAGTTGCAATATTCTTATATGTTATAAGGTTACAAACTGCATTCAGCTTGCAACAGCACTGTGTAAAGGAATCATATATTAGTTATGCCTCTTTGGTCTTGTCGTGTAAAATATTAGTTCGATATAAGGAATATTTTTCTTACTTACACGAAATCTATTTTATAAAGCTAAAGAGTTTGTTTGTTTATATGTTTAAACGCGCTAACCTCAGGAACTACTGGTTCGAATTGTTTTTTTTTTTTGTTTTGGATAGACCATTTATAGAGGCTTTAGGCTATATAACATCACGCAGCAATAGGAATGGAGAAATAAGGGAAGATGCGGAAGTTATTATTTAACTTTGCGGGTTTCCGTTGCGATTCAAGAAACCGAAAAATTATGTATGAAAGAAAGAATATTCTTTAAAATTTAACATCAACTCGCAAATATGACGCGACGGGACGCGGACGCCATAATTTATAAAGCTGAGGAGGTTGTTCTCTAAAATAAAAATTAAGTCCAAATAAACTATTCCCCGCAGACGAAGTCTCAGGCATAGCTAGTCTTGTAAAGGGATATACCAATGTAGCTTAACTTCGGCCTCTTTGTGTAATTGTGAATTTTAACAAATTATGCCTTTTGAATGATGGTGTGAATGCCTAATGCACGCCCACGTCGGGCAATAGTGAAGAGGGGAGTGTGGTAAATCGTACTACAACCACCTCGGAGACAATAGCCGATCAGAACCACTAAACATCCCACCATCCTGCTACGATGCTTTCGAGGAAGCCCTGGGAACACGTTTGTATGACTCCAAAGCTGTCAGCACTATAATATTATGCCTATAGTACATACATTAAATACTGTCTGTAATTTACGCGAGTAGTACACATATAAATAAAACACTTTAACGGTTTAAAACGAGATATATATCATTTGGAATTATTTTAACTACGGCCTGACGTTTCAGATGCTTCAGCAGCCGTATTCAAGGGGAGAATTCACGTAGTTAAAATAATTTCCAAAAAAGTTTAACGAATACATATGGCGTTTTAAACAGTTAAAGTATTTTATTTTATACATAGTACAGTTTACAATACGCATTAGTGTTTGGAGCATTCTCAAAAAAACCTACAGGAAATTCGCCGAACTATATCACTGAAATCTCTGACAGTGTCATGTTCTTAAACACATCTTGATAAGAGTCGACATGCATAAGATTTACTTTAGTCCGACGATAAACTCCATTGAAGTCTAAAATCTGTTAAAATTGACAGATGTAAACTGGCGATAAAACCCCTAAAACCGTGTAAAAGCCCTGTGGTATGAAGTCCACCATGAATGTAACAACTTTTATGAATAAACGGTGCTTTGGTCTAATGGTAATTTTAGGCCAATAATCAACGGGTCGTGGGTTCGGAGGGGATCCCCACCAGGTCCAAGGTGTTTCGATTTTTTTTTATTTATAATTTTTCTGAAACATGTTGCATGGACATCCTCTGGAAATCTGAATATTAAATAGGTGGTACGAATATAGAAATTCCGTTCCGAGGTCACGAAGTAACGTCCACAGCTGAAAAAGCCGTGAAGCGTGAAGGTTTCAGTCTGTGGATTTCCAAATATCCAAATCCCAAAATAGGTGGACGTCGCATCTTGTTCAGATGCTATAGGCTGGGGTATATCTTACCATCAATGATTTTAACGCAAACTGCATGGGAGTTTGTCGTTAAAAAAAGACAAAAATTTGGACTCAGCTATGACGTAGCCATTACTGTATTGGACGTTTAGATTACTTGAAGGCTCAAGTATATAACTTCCTTCTAATCAAATTAATTAAAATTATTGACTTATTATTCATCGTAATTGCAGCGCAGTAAACTATGTTAATATAACCACTTAAGTACAAGGTCATGTGGAATACACGCGGTGATGGTATATTGCGTTTCATTGGTCAAAAGCATTAAGGGTGTGTTTATAATGGTAAGAATTAGTAATTACGTACATAATAACGTTGGGATATGAAAAAGGGGCTCTGTGTAGAACTGATATATCGATAATAAGAGAAATATACAAACTATGACAATAAACGGATTTATCAAAATTATATAAAGATTTGTATCAAAAACACGTTGTAATATTTACAACTTTAAAATAATTATCATGACAAATATCATATTGTTTGGAAGCTCTACCTGTAAGCGACATGTAACTACGTTTCAAAAGCGCGACAAAGTATTAGCTGACTACGATATCGTTGGTTCGAGGAACGCTCGTGTTATTGCGATATAAAATATTTATGTTTGATTTACAGGCGCTTGTAATAATATAGTGCCTTAAAAAAAAATATCAAAGAAAACTATACATAGTTTCGTAGAAAACTATACAAACTGTTTTAACGGTTTAAAACGCGAAATATATTAATGTTCTAATTATTGTTCTATTTATTTGAACTACAAGCCAACAATTTCAAACTGTGACACACACATAATTAATATTTATGTACAAATATAAAAATTAATATGAAACTATATCTAATTTTTATTTCTTGTGTTTAATACTAGTGTCCATTGTGAACACAACCGCAACGATGCATAGATAAAAGTTTGATCGACAGTATCACTTGCGCCCGTGTTTCTCCGATGATACCGATAGTTTAAGATAGAGTAATCTCGATAAAATTCAGGTGATCTTAACTAGCCGATTACTTCAGTCATCGACCACTTGCAAGAGAGATCGCAGTAACTATGGGCAGTAAGTATATATTATTAAGATTTGTAAATATGTTCATTTTATTCAAAAATAACTAGAAATTTAGTGGGACACGTTAGCTCAATTAGTTAAAGCAGCACCGTTGTATCGGTTCGAGACCCGTCTGTATTACAATTTTTTCATTTAATTTTTAATTAGCTGAATAAACATGACCATGGGTAATTTTGCGCATATAATAGTATCAGAAGTTAAACTAACTATTTATTTTGAATAGCTCAATCTTTAAATGTATCTCGTAAGAGCATTCATTCGTTTCGTGGGACGTATAACTCTCATTAGCCTGTAATACAAATTAACCCCTGAAACAGACTCAGAATTGTGTCTGTTTCACTCCTCACATAGAGTAGACTTATCTATTTTACCTAAAACTTATTTGATCTTTCGTGGCTCCGAACAAACGACTATTTAAATAAAATCAATAAACATTTATTATGCACTTGGATTCTCTTAATACAATGTTAAGTCACTTATTCTTATGTCGATATTTTTCAATTTTTAATATACACAGTACCTAGTTTAATATATATTAGCTTTGTAGTAAAGATGTTTAATTAAATTGGAAAATGTCATTATAATTTCAATAAATGATATAAGTGATACATAAAAGTATACGTTTTGAAAGTTATTAACAAGTGTGCAGCTAAAACTACTTTCAAAAAAGTAGTTTTAAAAGTATTTATTCAGCACTCACAAGTAATTTACAAATAATCTAATTAAGATGAGTTCGACCTATTTTAAATTGCGCTTCGGAATTATTAAGTAAATGTTGCCTACTTTATTGGGCTTACAATGCACACGTATTATTTCTTATAAAGATTTAAACGTAGCGAATTACACACTTTAATACAAAAGACTTATCAATATCGCGGAGATAAAAGATAATTCCAAGAACATTTGAAAAACCCTGAATAGTGACGTATTTAGGAAGTAAATTTCAATTGGTTTATTGTAAAAAAAAACTAACTTTTAACGGCGGATTATTACGTACTTAGTACTCTACTTGACTTTTAGTTAGGTACAACTAGGTATCGTTTGATAGCTAATGTTCTTAGTCACTGTATTCATAAGTGCGTCGTTTATATGTATAAAGTGCAAAACTAGTATTAGATTGTATATGCTTACTAAATAAAATATTTTACGGTTTAAAACGCAAAATATATCAGTAAAACTTATTTTAATTCGATCCTATTAGTGAGGATAGACGACTACGTAGACAATATACGAAAATAGTTCGCGTTTTAAACCGTTTAAAGTATTTAATTTCAAATGTACTTGTGTAAAGCACCCATAATTATATACAGGTTTCATTCTATAGATTTTACACCCCCTCATAATGCAACGTGTACGAAAGACGTGTCGTCTCTATATTTTACAGCATCGTCCAAAAATTTAAATCAAGACAAAAGAAAATAGAATCAAAATAACTAAGATACTTAAGAAGTTATTTAGAACTACACTACTTACAGAAGAAGTTATATAATTATAAGTTACATTGAATTGCTTATTGAATGAATTTCCTGTATTCCAGCTGCCACTAGGTTAGTCTGCTTTGCAGCGGCGTTGCTTAGCGTTTCCGGTTTCTCAATTCCATTGAGACAAGACCCAGAGACCTTATGCATCGGCCAGGAGAATTTCTTACGGATCCCGAACATCGAAAGCTGCACTTTCTACTACCAATGCTATTCTGGGCAGTCTTACCTGATGCAATGTCCATCTGGGTCGTGGTTCAACGAACAGAACCAGGTATATCTAAACCAATATCTTAGATCAAAGATAGATATTACTTAATTGTGATTTTTTTTTAACCATACATTTGTAGATCAACTGAAATAGAATAACCTCAAATTTGTTTAAATTTCAGGTATGTGACTCATCAAATGCACCAGAAGGTTGTATAGTAGAGCCAGAGACTCCAGAACCAGAACCGGAAGAAGTAACAGAACCTGAGCAAGAGCAAGAGCCGGAACAAGAGCCAGAGCAAGAGCCGGAACAAGAGCCAGAGCAAGAGCCGGAACAAGAGCCAGAGCAAGAGCCGGAACAAGAGCCAGAGCAAGAGCCGGAACAAGAGCCAGAGCAAGAGCCGGAACAAGAGCCAGAGCAAGAGCCAGAACAAGAGCCAGAGCAAGAGACGGAACAGAAGCCAGAACAAGAGCCAGAACAAGAGCCAGAGCAAGACCCGGAACAAGAGCAAGAGCCAGAACAAGAGCCAGAGCAAGAGCCGGAACAAGAGCCAGAGCAAGAGCCGGAACAAGAGCCAGAGCAAGAGCCCGAACAAGAGCCAGAGCAAGAGCCGGAACAAGAGCCAGAGCAAGAGCCGGAACAAGAGCCAGAGCAAGAGCCGGAACAAGAGCCAGAGCAAGAGCCGGAACAGAAGCCAGAACAAGAGCCGGAACAAGAGCCAGAGCAAGAGCCGGAACAAGAGCCAGAGCAAGAGCCCGAACAAGAGCCAGAGCAAGAGCCGGAGCAAGAGCCGGAACAAGAGCCAGAGCAAGAGCCGGAACAAGAGCCAGAGCAAGAGCCGGAACAACAGCCAGAGCAAGAGCCTGAATCTACTCCAGAACCTGAGCAGGACAACGAAGAAGAGCTTATTCCGGTTGAAACAAATGAGATAGATGATGAAACTAAATTTAAGACAAGAAAATTAAAACAATTGGATGGAGAAAATCAAAATGATCAAGATGGAGAACAACCTGAAGATGAAGACGAACAACCTGAAAATGGAGACGAACCAGAAGGTGACGATGACAATGAATCAGATGGTAATGATGATAACGAACCTGAAGGTGATGATGATAATGACGATGAGCCAGAGAACGATAATGAAAACGAAGAAGACTCGGCAAGAAAAGTAAAATCTAGGCAGCTCAGGCAGGTTAATGATCATAATCACGATCATCATCACGATCATCACCATGATCATAATCATGATGATGATACTTCAGAAGGATCTGGTAGTGACGAAACAGAGTATGATATTATTCCTCAAGGTATCCCATTGCAAGAGGAAGTTGAAGCTGATGACGAAACTGACTCGGCTCTCCAAAGAGTCAAGCGTTCAGCAAAACAAATGAACAGTGCAGATACGGAGAAAGCAGTAGAAGACGAAATCGCGGCTCAGAACATCTTTTACAGATGGCTCCGAGCTGTGTATTAAAACAATTTCACTGGCATTTTAAAAATGCTTCCCTGAGAGTTTAGTTTAGTTGTAATAAGTTAGGATTAGTATCACTTTGTGCAATTTTGTAAATATTTGACGTGTGTGAAATAAATTATTATTATAGTAATGGATTTTTTTAATATGAAAAACGTATTTTATAAACTAACGTATATTAACAATCTATTAAGATTGAAAATCACGAATTTTTTATCGAAAAGAAAAACCTATTGCCTATTGTATTTCAAACAACGAAGTCTTTAAACCGGTATTAAAATATTCTATTTTTTTTAATATATAACATCAATTCTATACAACATCGCTACTTGATAACTTGAGACTTTAAAATTAATTTTGTCATTAAATTGAATTTTGGCAAAAGTTTTGATTATTTTCGAAAGATACTGTCTATAGTTTACGCGAGTACACATTTAAATAAAACACCAACGGTTTAAAACGCGGTAGTTAGTTGGTTGGTTGGTTGGTTGATACGAAACGTCGGCCCGAAGTAAACCGTTAAAGTGTTTTATTTAAATGTTTTCGATAGGTTAAGTTATTGAAAAAATAAAAAGTACATTCGCATTCAATTTAGCAATTTATTACATTATTATACAAAATAAATCTCAATACATAATATTATAAGTAACACAACCAAAGCAAACATTAAACATTGGAGTTGAGAGACATTATGTCAGTGTTGGCCGTAAATGCATTCGATACACCGTAAATAAGTACGTAAGTTTGACTTGTTTTCAATCGTTCTCCACAGAGAGGGGCAATTCTCGAATAAGTGGCTAAAATTACGTGTATTTTTGATAAAGGACATGCATGAGCCATAAATGAACTCAACATGATACACTGTCGAACTTTATGTTTAGCTTTTGGATATTCGGTAATCCACAGACTGGACACCGAAACGCGATTTTCACGGCTTTTTATCTATTCTATATTCCCACCACAGACTTAATATCCAGATTCCATTTAAATTTTAAACCAAAAATACTTCTCACTCTTTCGAGAATTTCCCCCACAACATAGATCCTGGCAACACCGTTTACGAACGCTACAGTCCGCGAAAAGTTAATACAAGATTAATACTAAAAATGTTATAAAAATAAATATCTAAACGTAGACAGGACAGCGGTAGCATTACTTCATGCAAGCCGCGGCGCAAATGTCTGACATTTTAAAACGCTATAAATCGGAAGTCAAGTTTGTTCAAAAAGTTTGTAAGTCATATTAAAAGTCACAGGTTCGTCGTGTCAGTAAAAATCTACGTAATTTGGTGCTTATGTAATGTTAACCTATTTTATATAATTATTAAATGAGGATAACGGTTCATACATTTATAAAAATAACACTATTTTGCTAGTCACAGTTCTTGTGGCTTGCACGCGCGATACTATTATGATCCATAAATGTCTGAGCAGTAGTAGATTGTCAGTATAACGCACAAACCGTTATCCCTTAATAAATATAGGAAAAAGGTTACTAGAATTCAATAATTACGTCTATTGAACTTCAAACTTCAACAATTGTATGGTCCACCTAACGCATTGTATAAAAAGTAGCTAATGAGTAGATATGTGATGTCGATCAATAGAATATACGCACGGTGTTAGAATATTTACCAAAATGTAATTCTTCGTCAACTATTAGTATTAAAAATCCAGAGTTTAAGTTAATGTTAATATTGTTTAATAGAAAATAGAGAGAACGTGAGAAATAGTGGATAGATATTGAATTAGTATTAATCATTTGAGTGGTGACTTCGTCGCAACTTGTGTAAATATTCCAACACAACAGATTTACAAAATACTACTTCTAAGCGTTGAATAAGTATTCCTTTACCTAACGATTATATACGATATCCAAACGTGACCAGTAACAACCTAAAACCACATCACCACATTACCGATTGAAAGAATCATCCATTCGGTAATGCGGTGATCATCAAAAATATCACCTTTGCCGCTTTGTCATATCCATGTGCTAGATTCGAAAACATTAAAAAACTAAGTAAAAAATATATATTACAAAATGAATACAAACGGTGCGTTTAAATACACTATAAGAAACAGGGAACCGTTAAAAAATAAATAAACAAAACAGCTATATACAAACAGTTCGTGCCATGGATGCGACAAGCAACAATTATCACCGTACAATTCCTATGCAAATCCTCGATGCGCGCGCGCCGGTTAAAATACATATATTAAATATCACGGGGACGAATACAATATAGTTACATTCGGTTAGTACAAAAACGACGTTAACATTCTTAACCGCTGCTATAAAATTTAAAGCGTGCTCCTAAGTTTAATATTGTATCAAATCCTTGGGTTCAGTATAAAAAGTACGAAATAGCTGCTGCTGTATAAAAGTCGTATGCTAGTGAATGTGATCCGCGATGTAGGCTAGCCGAGCGGGTCAAAATAGGCCCAAGTCCTTCTTCATGTTGGTCTGCTTCCACGCGGGAAGCGACGCAAACTCTTCTTTGGTCATGCCGAAAGCCTCCTGTTACAAATAAACAAAACAAATTAAATAATCATGTTAAAAAAAGGATGTACCTGACGTTTGAATCACTGTACTTCTATATGAACAAGAATTTTGTAACACTTGAAATTAGTTTTACATAAAAAAAAATATAATTAGATGGGTGAGACTGAAATATACGACCAACAACGTGTTGTAACTAAGCTATCGTGTTTCTCGAATGTACACAAATAGAAAGTGTGTATCGCCAGTAAATTTCATCTTCACCTATTTTTATTTTACATACATAAGAGCTTCCTTAGCTGAAACTCGAGCCTCCTACAAGAATATGTAGTCTTCATTTGTTACGCCGGCCCATTGGGTGTTGGCCAAAATTGGGTTCGGTTCCAAGACATTACCGTTTCATCAGATATGTAGGTGTCAAGCTCATAATCGAAGAGAAGTCCAATTCACCCAGTGCTTACCATGAAATGTGGTGAGGAGAGGTGTCTCTCCAGATGGTGCGGGTCGACTAAGTCGGGCAGAGGCCGCCGTTGTAGCGCCGCGAGGGGCAACACGCACGTGCTAGCGGTAACTCGAGAAAGCTCTACGCTGGCGCTCACCGCTTCGCCCGCCTTGTACCCGCGCTATAAACCCGGTGCATATGTTTTTACAGTGCATTTATATACAACAACCATAGATCATAGAGCTATACACCTTAGAACCATAGATATTATTAAATATTAGGCCACTAGAGGGAGAGTAGCCAAACTACTGTTTTATGGCATGACTTATTTATATTTTTGAAAAATGTTAATCTACAAGAGCACAGTGACCCAAAATTGTTAATTAATAATTCTTGCACAAATAATAATACAAATTAATTTTCGCCTAATTTAATTGTGCATTTTTATTTTCTCCATCTATTGAAAATCATGCTTTTTGTTGCCACTCTGCCTCCAGCAGCCTCATATTTAATTTAATTTATAAGTTGCTTTATATTAAACAACATCGTACTAAAAGGGTATGAAATAGTTTATAATAAAACCCTGGCCCCCGAAGAAACTAATATGAGTTTTTAAGTACCCAGACCGAACTTTGAAAGAAGATCTTTAATTAAACTTTATAAGGGGTTGTCCATTAATCACGTGAGGCTTGAAAGGGGGGGGAGGGGTTTGATAAAAATCACGAAAATAACACAAGGGGGAGGGGGGGTATAGTAAGATATCTCGTGTATTTATTTTTTCGTCAAACGCGCGATTTTTAAACAAATGGTGTAGACATTTTTATTATGGTCCTTAATTTCAGAGTAAAATAAGATTATGGTTTATACCTGTATTTATATTAAGATATTATTCAGGAATTTTAAGATTCTTTGTAGGTACTAAAAATACACGTGATGTTGAGTAGGGGGACGGAGGGTGGTTTTAAACCTCACTACGTATCACCAATGGGGGAGGGGGGTTTAAAAATTCTAAAACAAGGTCACGTGATTAATGGACAACCCCTAACCTATAACCATATAAATACACCTCCACCTAAGTTTAAATTAAAAACTCACCGCGATATTAGCGTCAGCGGCCTCATCGTGCTCCTCCCAGGTGTCAAATAGCGCAGTGAAGGTGTCAGGCTCGAGTCCAGCCAGTACGACTTGTACCTCGGGTCGAGTGCGCCGCGAAACAGACCAGTACGCTTCCGCTGTGCGTAGCGCAGCCGCTCGTAACGACATCCATCGGCCCGCGAATGCGCCAACACCTTGAATTATAATAATTATGAGTCTTTAGTCTCGTATTATTTTTACAAAATAAATTCTTAATTGGATTCATTTTTATTTGGATATAAATAATTCAATATTGTGCAACTTCTATGTTTATAAAATCTTCGATATATCATTTATATCAAAACTTGTGCAATAGAGAACAAAACTTATGTTATTATTTAAATAAAACACTTTAACGGTTTAAAACGCGATATATTAGTTGTGTTATTATATAGATACATAAGATTAGAATCTATATATATTTTATAACTATTAACTAGCTGTTACACACGACGTGGTCCGAGTGACGTCGTTCTTGTGATTTAAATTTAAATTCAAACTGGTAGTTCCTAAGATTAGCGCGTTCAAACAAGCAAAGGATGTCTTCAACTTTATAATATTAGTGAAGATGTCAAAATTAACAAATAAAAAAATTACCGTTATTTCTCTCGACGGGTTCGATCTCCCCGTCCTCCCCCCGCGGCCACCACCCCTGCCAGACCCACACACTCTTTCCGTCGTCTAATAGGAACAAACCTGTAAACGAATGAAATTTTAAAGTACCTTCTTAGAGAAAAATAAATTAAATATCTGATGAAGTATTTACCAGGTTGCGAGGCGGAATACAGTTCCTTTTGTTCGAACGGGAATGGGGTAATTAGGCTTTCGTGACGAAGAGGCGATAACACTTCGCTAGCTTCGAACTGGCCGCTCAAATCCGTGAAGTGGAACATCCGCGGTGTGACGTCATCACCCGCCTCACGACCGGCGCTCAAGACAGAGTTGTAATACTGCTTGTTGGCAACGCCCAGCGCCTCCAAAACATCCCTCGGCTCTTCGCCTTCCCTAATCTCTACCACCTTAACGTCACCACATTTTTCACCAAAAAGATTCTTAGATTTGCGCGCCACTAATTTGTTCGCTAACTCCACCGCTACCTGTCGCGTATGCTTCAAGCTTCTAGAACCGTGCCACACATACACGAAAGCCTTCTCCGTATCAACTAAGACTAACGAGCCCCGGCTCCTCAATTGTCTAACAGAACAGGGCACTTGCAGTAAATAAGCTTCGTTAATTAAATTTCCTCTTGTAACGAAGAGACGATACTTATTTTTGTCTGTCTCCCGTTTACCCTGTTGTATGACGAGGTTGCCTTGGAAGAGGTTCAGAAAGGCTGGAGGTTCAGTACCTTGTGCGACTCGGACTTGTGGCCCTTTGCCCTTATCTAATTCCACGGTTAATAAAGCGGCCGCCCCCTTCTCGTTGGGTGACGCGTCTTTTCCTTGCCAGCAGAAATAGGCGCATCTATCACGACCGGTCAGATTGTGTTTCGAAGGTTTCCCGTTTAACTCGCGGCCGGAAACAGTGATCTGATAATCCCACTTGATGATGTAACTGTCTCCGGAGTAAAATTCGCCGATATCGCACTCGTTCTCAACGTTCTGATAGTCGTATTCCTGGATGAGCCATTTGCATACAGCCTGCGTTTTGATTTCGTAATGACGCATCGACTCTTTGTCGTAGTAATGTGTTCCTCGACCGATGTGGGACCCTTCTAAAATGAGATCTGGATCCTGGTACTCGTTGGACCACATTTCCTCTGCATCGCAGGGTGTTATCTCCGCGCCGTTCGATTTGTTCTCCGCGGGCTTAACTTTGATTACTCGGCTGAAGTCCGGCCAGTCGAGGAATTTCTCTTTGAAGAGTATGGTTTCCATGTGTTGAGTGATTTTCGACATAATCGCCCATTCCGGTCGAGATTTCGACGATTTAGTTTGCGTTTTAGAATCCTTTCTAGCGCCTTGATATTCGGCGGCGTTCAACGGATTGATATGACATTCTTCATAGTTGTAACCGTCTTCGAATAGTTCTTTAGCCAACTGTGCCGCTTGGCGTCTGCTTTCTAGTGGAACATTTTTACCGTACCAGATGTACATTTCGGAGCCAAAATCGAAGACTAACACTTTGGATTGGTTTAACATGGAGATTTTGGGCACTTGGCCCCAGTACTCCTTGATGGGCACTAGCTCATCGTCTATGACCTCATAGCACATGTTCGTTTGGACGATACAGGATTCGTATATCTCGTCTTCATCCACGTGACCTGTCTCCGCTGGCTGGTACTCTTCAATTCCATCTGTGACACCAAGTAGAGACCAAAATTGGTTCCAATGTTTATTCGTATAGGTCTTGGTTTGTTCGTCTATTTTGATGAGAGCGTTGGCGTTTTTACAACCGAGATCTTTTGTGTTCAAGATGTGATTTGCTATATCGGTGCTTCGGTTCCTGAAAAAAGTATAATAGCAATGTAGTAGAATTTTAAGTTTAGTGTGTACCTTACGCATGTACAACACATTATAATAAAAAATTTTTTTGCGGTTTTAATTATTTAATGCTCAGTAAAATTACTCACTTCTCAATAACATTAGCATATAAGCCAATGTAGAGGAACAGCTGATCAGGTGTAACAAGTAGAAAGCAGTCGCCTCGATTCACGTTTGTGTGCACTGGTTCTACCAACCGCGTCTGTGAACGTTAATCATTTTTTATTTGTCTTGTCTATGGTTTATGTTTAAATTTTAAATTAAATATTAAATTATAAATTAATAATAAAATTGGCTGAAAATTGTAATGTTATCTTTGTTTGATTATCTAATTCTACGTCTCTCTACTAAGATAATATCTAGTGCTTTTCAGATGAAGTCCAACATATTTCATAATGTTGTACTTAGTCTAGAAATCAAGATATTAAACGGGTGGTAGTAACATCTAAATTCCGTCCGGGTCACGGACTACTATCCACAGATGAAATAGCCGTTAAGTTTAATCAGTCTGTGGATTTTCAAATATCGAAAGTCACCGACAACAGCATAGCCTGGGGCGTGTAACCTACCATCAAGTGAATCCCGTGCTCGTTAATAGTTATAGTGCAAGTTGGATGGAATTGGATATGGTAAGGTTGTGGATTACAAGACGTGTAAACGGCGACTTAAATGGAATATATTAAATTTAATAATACCTGCACGCGCCGTCTACCCTTAACGTGCATTAACATTAGCGGCTTTGTCCCCTGACTGGGGACATTCGTAGCTGAAGCACTTCGAAGTGCAACATTAGAGAAGTCTTCCTTGCTGGCAAGCGCGGCTAAGGCTTCGGCTGCTAGGCCACAATTGGCGGTAACTGAAATGCAACCACGTTGATTATATAAAGAAAAAAATCTTACATAAAGTCACTTTAACGGTTTCAAACGTCGTTTTCGCAGGGGCTGTTCAAAACAACTAAAACGTCGCGATGTAGTTTAAAATGTAAACTACAATATTTTTGAAAACCGTAATATTGTTGTCGTGTTATTGCATATGATGGCATTATTATAAATTAAATTAAAAAAAAAATTGACGACACGAGCAGTACTTGAACTAGCATCCACAGCGTTCCGTGCTGTTGCTCTAAGCAATTTTGAGCTACCGTGTCCTGTACGTCATCGTCGGATTTTTTAATTGAGAATATGTTGCTTTTTAAAATATTAAAAATGATTTTAATTCTACCACTAAGGTAAGCCATGATACTTTTTTATTTTTCGATGGAATTGTATCTAGAAATTATGAAATTTCATCTTATGTACGAATTTTAATTTAGACTTATAACATATAAATTATTTTAAACAAAAATTTAAGAAAAAAGTGTTTAAATGACTTTTGAGTATTAACCAAGACTATAATATTCATTCATATAATAAGTAATTAGTGACATCTTACCTTTCTCCTTAAACAATGCGTCCCTTGTTGTCAAACCTAAAGCCTTATATTCCTGTCTGAGGTCTGTCCGAGCAGCCAATGCCTTCAAGGGATTCCGAGACGCGACGTGTCGACGTTCCCGCTTCGCTCTTCGTGCGTATTCGCTTGACAGGCTAAAAATAAGCATTCAATTATGTACAATGGTAACGTGACAGCTGTAACCTTTTACAATACTTTTTATGGCCTACATAGCATTATATGGATTGTATAGCATATAATATATATATATATATATAACATAGCTAGTTATGCATATCATTGTCTTTCGGGCTATTCGGCCAACGTGAGAGAAGAAGTTCTCGTCGAAGAATTATGATATATTACATAATTCTTCGAGCTATCGAGGAGTTACCATTTCCTGATGATGCCGTCCACACGTGATGGCGAAACATCGAGAACCTCTTCTCGCTCTAGTCGGCCGAACAGCCCGAAAGACAATGATATACTGAACGATGGGCGTAAAAGCCTTACACGATTTATAGCTGTGTAATGCATATTAGCTAGATAGAGCGTTTGTTGGTAAAATTATACGTCACGAGTAAATAGCATCATGTGGTATTTGTCAAATATCATTTTAAAAAGATATATACACTTCATAGTTTTCTTATTATTTTAGGAATTGGTCAAATAATTCAAATAAGTTATTGGGCAATGCTCCTCTTGTCTGTTCTTTCTTTTGTAAAGAAATAGAATAGGTACATCTTTCCGCTTTCGTTTTCACCTGTAGACGGTCTACAGATGAAAAAGCCGTGAAGCTGTATCGCGTTTCGGTTTCAGCCTGTAAATATCCGAATATCCAAAGCCAACATACGTCGACAGTGCATCTTGTGCAAATGTAATATGGCTGAGGTACTAACCTACAAGTTAACCCTGTGCTTATTAATGGAGAAAGAGAACAGATGTTCCTTCTCTCATAAAAAAAGGGAATGGCCACGAAATACTTACAGTTGCCTAGAAGCACTATCGATAGCATCCAGGTCTACATCAAGTTGTTCCGCTGGCTTCTCCTGCTGCTGTAGTGGCGCGAAGAATGCGTGGAATGTTTCGTCATCAGCTCGAGGCACCCGTACGGGACAACCCGGTTTTTCCGCGCCTGGAGATAACTCGTCCTCTGTAAATATAATATTTTAGGTTTAAAAAATATTAGTACGTCAAGGAACTATATAAGAATATCTATTAAAAAATACCCTACTACAATACTATGTTGTATTACATCTTTGGTAGGATTAACGAATTTCCGTCTGAATATAATAGTCAAAATAGATCTACAGCACAGCTTGTAGATGTAATATTATAAACTCATCGCTTGAAGATGTATATCTATCTGCTCTTATTTTCAATAACTGACTCAATTCAATAACTTACTCTCGTCTCGGCTTATATTCTCGCTAACAGAGTGACTTCGCTTGAAGGATTCGCGATCAACCTTGGGCGTTTCCTTTGGCTTTGCGTCGACGACTGCGCTCATAACTGCGCATGAGGCCGATCTGAGAGGACCAGATGCGAAGCCATTTGTTGGGGATGTTGGGGCTTTGCGAGATCTATGGAAATAGAAATCTATCATAAGAAAGAGCAAAGATTTAAAAAAATTGAGAGATACCCACCATAGAAAAACCATAATAAGTTATAATCCATAACTCTTAAAACTACTATATGTCGAAGAGTTTGTTTGTTTGAACACGCTAACCTCAGAGTTTGTTGGTTTAAAAGGAAAAATCTTTTTGTGTTTGATTAACATTTAGCGAGGAAGCATTAAGGCTATAAACCATCAAGGAACAATCAATATAAGTGAAAAAAGTGAGGAATGTGGAATGTATGTCTTAATAAGATTAACTTACAAGAACCTATTCTATGTTAATCAAATTTGATCGAAATACTTCATAACGTAAAACAATTTTCACCTTGGTCAGCTAGTTGATTAATATTGAATAATTCGAAACGTCTGAAATGTCAGAAAGATGCTCTTTATAAGTCGACTTCTCTCTTAAATTATTTTGTAAAATATTAGTAGACCTGATAGTTTCGTTAACAAATACAGCACGTAAAGCATTCCATGCACCAACATGCACAAATAAGGGCTACCCTGCTCGAGGCCGTTTTAAGGAAATACCAATTACGAAGTGACAGATCGCATTTAACTACGTAAGTAAAGTGCGTTTCAACATTCGAACCTTTAAAGGAAATATACATTTATAAATAAGTGTTCAATCGAACAAAATAAATACCATTTCAATCTGTACTAATATTATAAAGCTGAAGAGTTTTTCAGTGTAAACGCATTAATCTCAGGATACTGGTTCGAATTAAAATAGTACATTATGATATAAGTTTAACGTAATTACTACTAGAAGTAATGACAATAATTATTAAAACTTAGTTTTCATATTTTTTCTTATATCGTGTATTGCTGTCGAATTGGATTATATCTGTAATGGCAGCATATATTTGTGTGTGTGTAAATAAATAAATAAAGTTCGGTAAGTTGAAAATTACAGCCGATGCGATATTACTATAAGAAAGCAGAGGCTGTGATTTTCAAAGCGCACGTATGTCATACGACGTTTTATAATATATTTACAAAGAAATTAATAAATTCACCACTACTTGACAACATTTTTAAATAAAAACAATATAGCGAAAAGAGAAAACGCGCGGAATTATTTTTACTTGTCCACAAATAAGCGATGCGCGCGAATTTTTTTTTAGGCAAAGGTACAAAAACAGCCAGTATTACTAATAAAGTAAATTAATATTTTTGTGTTTTTGTTATAGATAAATTACAATTAAAGAATTAAATGTTTATTTGTTATATTTTATTTCCCAAAGTTAATTTTATTCATAAAATATGAATAAAATGAAAATATGAAAAATATGAATATGAATGACAACTTTCTTGACATAAAACCTCTTTGCTAAGAAAAAAAAACACGTGCCTTTAAAATTACATTATCGCGCAAGTACGTAATGAGATTACGATATTGAAATTGGTGTAATTACAACCACTTAACGAGCAAATATGTTATAAAAACGTTTACGTTAGGCCGTCGATTCTTATCAGCACTACTAATTCGTCGTTGAAGCCAGCAAACCCGGAGCTACATAGTGGGTTCTAGTTACCTGAATCTGTTTGGTGGTGGTACAGCGGGCGTAATAGCGGGCGAAGAAGCAGGCGGAGTGTTCAGAGGAGGTGGAGTGACAGGCGGCGTCGCCACCTTGTCGCGCTCCAACCGCCCAGCGACGGTGAACATGGTCGCATCGCTTTGAGGCACTCGTTTTCGCCATCCCTGTGACCAAACCTTTATTTTTAAAAACGATATGGCAACAAACGATGGAGCAACAGCATGGAACACTTTGCCTCTCAAATTCTGCCCGTATTTTTTTTCAGCATAATGAGTTTTAATTTAAAATACATATGTCTAATATCCATTACCGTTAAGCTTTTATCTTTGAAAATCAATGACAATAAATAAATTATAAATCTTTTCAATTTATATTTCACCAAATATACGTTGTATATTTAACTTGACGTTCGTGACGCTGGGCTGTGTTTGAAACCAATTTATATAAAATATTTAACTGTTTTAAATACTTAGAACCCTCTTTGGTATCACTCTTTTTTTTTCGAATTAAATTATATTATTCTAATTGTAAAGAGATGAAAAAGGGCTCCATTCAAAGCTTATATTATTCTCTACAACAAGATAGACACAGGGTTGACAATGTCACGATGCGTCTATTGATTTATATTAAACCGCAATTTGAAAATTGATATTGGAATTCAATACTTATGTCAAGTGTTATTTATGTGGTCACTGAGTCATTGGGGTGAAGGTTCGAATTACTCAGAACTGAGATATCTAGTGACAAATACTTGGAGTCAAAGACCTTAACAGACCGGTTATGGGGCTTGACCATAATCACTAGACAAAGGGTTTGTGCATACGACATAAAAGGTAAATAATGTTTATATTTATTTTTAACAGGCGTTTTGTAGTTACTACACTTTTACCAATTAATACATTTTTCTTTAATTAACATTAACAGATGTTAAGTTGTTGACTTTAAATTGTATCGACATACTTAATAGTTTACGCTCACATTTAAATAAAACCTTTGTTTTAAACGCGATATTCTCACATCTGTTAAGACTAGAGAGGACAGGACACAGCTAGCAATATAAGGACCACACAGTTACTTTAATAAATTTAAACGTATATAAAGTTCGAATCCTGCCTGTGCCACAGAATTCAAAAATAAATTTTGATATTTTTAAAATTAGATGTATTACATATTTAACGATTTTTTGGAAAAACAAGGAACATTTTGAGCATTATTAACTTAATTGGCAAAAGGATATTTTAAAACGAATCCTGTGTCTACGATTATACGATAACGAAACACAGGAAGCGATGTTTGAAGGCCGATTATTACAATACGAACGTAACAATGCACCTTGATATTTGCAACAAGTGCGTAAGTCCTTAAATGCAATACACGAAATTAAATTCCGCATAACGTCGAATTTAAACATTAACTATTTAGATAAAACACTTTAACGTTTTTAAACGCGAAGTATCTTAAATACTGTCTATAGTTTACGCGAGTAGTACACATTTAAATAAAACACTTTAACGGTTTGAAACGCGATATATTAGTTAAACTTATTTGAAAATGATTTTTAACTTCGGCCCGACGTTTCGGATGCTTTGCAGCAGCCGTATAATATATCGCGTTTTAAACCGTTAAAGTGTTTTATTTAAATGCGAAGTATCGTAGTTAAACTTATTTGAAAATTATTTTAACTACGACCCGACGTTTTGGATGCTTTGTCATCCCATGACCACGGCTGTTGCTGTTTTATTCAAATATACACACGTAATCTATAGACTGTATTAGTTAACTAATTATTCCATCTTTTTTAACGGTTTAAAACGCAAAGTATCAATTATTATTAGTATTTATAACACTACTTTATATATTTTAAACAGAGGTGATAAAACTTATACATTTAATGACACGAGTTTAATGGCGTGAACGAATACATTAATAAGTAAACAATAAAATTGACAGGATATAAATGTAAGTGATAAGATGCCTTTTCCTCTGATATGGAAATATCCTGTAAACATTATCTAGAAGCACAAGCAATAATTTGGAATACACATGACAACTCAATTGGTTAGAGCAGCAGCACGGAACGCTGTGGATGACACTAATAAAAAAAATTGGTGCGATTAAAACAGTCAAGTACCTATTTTATATCGCTATATTGATTTTCCCTTAATACCTCAGTTGTAATTAATTACATAACCGTTGTCAATTATAGAGATCGATTAATATTGATCGATTAGTAATTCGTTAATTATATCGTTTACCTGCGCTGCGGTTTCTAATTTGTTTCGTCGGTCAGCGAGGATGTTGGAGCCCAATTCGTTTTCATCTATTTGCACCTTCTTCTTGTCATCGACCGCCGCGTTTAGGGTTTCCTGCAACAAAATATTACGACCACATTAGAATTGAATTAGAAAATATATATTAATTTAAAAAGATAGACATATACTGTGGCGTAATTTTTTTAGATCATACAAAGAGGAGTACGTATACATATATCTTTTGGTTTATTTGAACCGTTTTTGTAGCGCCCGCCGGAGGGCTCAAAGGGAAATAATTTTTATGTAAATTGTTCTATGCAACTCAAAAAAAGACAGCAAAGAGAGAAAGGCAAATCAGTCGTTTCTAAGATTAGCGCGTTATCAAACAAACAAACAAACTCTCCTTAATAAAGATTTATACATATATTAGTATAGATATAGATTTAACTTTTTGCGAAAATTGGCTTTCTTAATAGCATTTAGCTCTAGTGTATTATTAGTAATGTAATCAATTATTAAACATTTACTTTAAGGCGAAACTAATAATATCTCACGTGTCATTAAACAGGTAATTCAATAGAAATTGTAATATCGACACAAACTATACTAATATATAAAGATGAAGGGGTTTGTAAAAACGAATTTTGATAATGTCCAAAATACGGTAACGATTCTCGCGGACGAAGTCTGAGACAGCTGCTATATTGATATTTTGCCACGGCAGCCATAAAATAAAATTAACATATCTAAAATCATTTTCTATTTCAACCTCTGACAGAAGATGATTTACAGCGTACACGCTTCCCGTTAGAAATGAGATTCACGTAATATTACTTAATAAGTTTCATCATAACACAGTGACGGCACATTCGCAAAACAACGTGTTTGATCGCTATCGATAATAATTCTTTGTACTAAGCGACAGTCTCTATTGTTGTGTATGTGTAATGGTGATCTATATTCTTGAGACACGATACGAGTTATTTATGAGTAACTTGTATAGAGGAGAATCAGAGATGTTATCTGTGGAATTTTTCGTTCTGAAACATAGCTAGCATAGTCTCAAAAACATTCTAGAATATGCAAGTAAAATTTTAAAATGTGGAGAAAGCCTTATTGTAGATATATACATACAAATAGTTATTTGACGGTTTTAAACGCGAAATATATGAATTTTGAAACTTATTTGACAAATTATTTTAGCTATGGCCCGACGTTTCAGATGCTTTGCAGTAGCATTTTAATGTATTTTACATTTTAAACCGTTAGTGTTCTACTTTATTGTGTACTCGCGTAAACTACACACAGTCATGCCTTTAAGTTAAAATTGACAAACATTCATGAGTGTAATATAAGAACGCTGTGTGTTCAAAAATAAAGACGGTATTTATACCGTCTTTCAATATACAGTATAGTAGATTTAAAGCCGGTAGCCAAACATCCTGTAGTTTCTAAAAATATACTTTAATGATTAAACACTTCCTAATCAACTATAAATTTACTATCGCGTGTTTTCTGCTTCTCGGCATTCGTTTGCTAAATAACTTATTAAGAACTTACATTTTGACTATTATCAACTGCGTCAACGTCGAATTTTCTAAAAACCGGCTTCAAAGCTCCATTGCTTGCGTTTCGAGTCTTGCTTTTCAGTTCTCCTATAACCGAGCCAAAGTTAAGCCCCCCCGGTACACCTGTTTGTTTTTCGAGTCGTCTTAACAAAAGTGACGGGGGTTTTATCTCTTCTGATTGTTCCTTTTGCAATACAACATCATCAGTACTCTCTATTTTATCAGACGGCTTTAAAGATTCTTCATTTTTGTGGTTTATAATATTCTCCTGCTTCGATATCTCATTTAAGTTGTGATTCACGTTCGGTATATCAAAATCACAATTTGTTAGAGATAGATTCTCAAAAATCGATTGTAACTTATTTTCGTCTAAAACAGTTTTTTCTAAAAACTCCGCGAAACGTTCCTTAGGTGGGCTATCTCTGATACGTTTACGAAGACGAATGTTATCTTCTCCGATATCAGTATATAAAGAATTATTCAGTGAATCTGTTTCTATCGGGAGTGCCTCTATTACCTTCGCTTTTGTTTTATCGTATTTCTTACATTCCCATAAATCTTTGCCTAAAACAGTATCGACTGCTTCTAAATTGTTATTAATTGAATGTAATTGTTCCTCCAACGTTACATTCCCTTTTATTTGTAGTTCATTAATGTGTTCACTTTGATTAGCACCGTGTAATTTAGTTAGCGCTTCTGGCTTTTTATTCGAAACGTACTTCCATACGACGAGGACGAGAACTCCAACAAGAATTATAATAGCGTAGATCATTTTCAAATCCAAAATTTGATCACAGTGTAATAACTTTAGTTTAAACACTTCTTACATCCATACTTTTGATATTACTTTTTGCACTTTAGTCACACTTGTTAACGCATTGACACTTTAGATGAATCATTCATGAGGAAATACTCAAGTTACAACTATGTGGTTTTTGAATTGTAATACGATCAGAACAGGGAAATAAATGCATTATACAGACTTGTTGACAGCCTGACGAACACAAACAGACTGATCGAGAGACTATCTGGCAGATAACGTGAGTCAGGCACAGGTTCCTATAACATTGGTAAACATCATTGCAAAGAATGACGCATATTATAAAATGAGAAGATTGCGGTGTAGGTGCGCCAAGCGAACCAGTTGTCCATCTGTGTAGCCTTGAGTGGAAAACGATATAGCGCTTGTACAGACGGTTTATTGACACTATGGCTATATTATTTGTGAAAAGTAAAATAAATGACAACGAAAAGAAACGTTGCCTTGAGTAATCGATAATGTATACAACACAAAATGAGTAGCAATAAGGAAAAATATTAAACTAGTACTGACGAAATTGAATACGAGGCAGGTCTCCGTATACGTCAACTTGTCTTAGCCATATAAATTGCATAAATATATCAGGCCTCAATTCAAGATACTGCGATGGATCGCGTCGTAACCTCTAAAAGAGCGAGGTATAGATTAATTGTATGATAATAGGAAAATAAAACGATATCAATTGTCGTTCATGCCATTCTTACATCTTAACAATTTGCGTTCAATGTCGAATAAATGAGTACCAATAAAAAATTATCTTGATATCATATCAATGCTTTTTCCTATCAACGGACGTGTGCTGACTTTTGGTATAGCTGTACGATATTAACACATTGAATATAAACAGTTTTTACAGTTTAAAACGCGATTTAAATTGTTAAAATTTTACCCGGACATTTTGCTTGATTCATGCATTTTGAACGCCTATTGTTTCACTGATTGATTGCGTCAAAAGTTACTATCAGTATTGTGCAAATAACTATTAGTTATAAATATTGACTATAGACATTACGTATTTGTTTTAATTAAAAAGGGCCGTATATCCTTTACCTGGTCAGAGCTGCGCGTGCGTCGAATATATAAGAGAACATTAGAAACGAGTGTCCTAGATATTAACCGTTATACGATTTATAATAAGGATAAATTAGCGAAAGTTTCGTATAATTAAGGTGAGTGAAAAATTAATTTGCGGGTTAAAATTTAGATTTTATAGATAACGGTATTGACATTTAAGATAATGTTACGATAGTGAAAGATAACACGACCGCCTTTGAAAACTACGACTGATGACTGAGATAAATTTTTAGTTACGAGTCTAAAATATTTGCAACCACTCATAACATTATTACGCTGGTCCAGTGTGGGATGGCAAACTTCCACCGACACTAGTTATAATTTATGGAATTTAATACATGAAGACATCTTTTAACTAAAACACTTTAGTTAAAAGATGTCTAACGGTTTAAAACACGATATATTTTAGTTAAACTTATTTGAAAGTCATGTTAACTTCGGTCCGACGTTTCGGTTGCCTTGCAGCAGCCGTGGTCACGGAGACCATTGTGTAAATAAGTTTACCCAATATATATCGCGTTTTAAACCGTTAAAGTGTTTTATTTAAATGTGTACCACTCGCGTAAACTACAGACAGTATGGACAAAACTTTTATAAGTCTTTATATTACCTACATTTTTTCTTTCAAGATTAAGTTTTAATTAAAAAATGTATTATTTAGCAGCGAAGTTTAGGTAGCTTTAATGGCACTTTTGCTTTTTAGTTTGATTTCAGATAACAAATTTGGACAACAAGGATTCTATAAACATAAACCCCTACAAAGATTAAATTTTCTTACATCAAAAAAAAAGCTAAGTTATTTTGGTCCAATTATAATATTATAAAATTTCACCAGTTGCAATTACGTTTAGATTACTTCGCACTTTTCAATTTAGTTTCGGTACGTTACGGTGAAAGCGAACTTCGCCACATGCGCGCGCGCCTACAAGTACGCCGTCAAAACAACTGGCCACTTTTGACAGTGCCACTTCGTCTGCGCCCAACAAACGGGTTGCGCACACGTCTGTATGTTTAATTAACTGCAGAACATTAAAATGTAGCGAGAACTACCTAATTAAATTAAATCTTTCTCAGAACTGGAGTAATTAGCGCAAAAGAAAGATTCAGACCGTAGGGTTTGCAGTGTATTTGATTTAATGAATAAGTACTTTTGACTCTGAATGTCTCATTTAAAATTAATTAATAACTAGCTATTATCCACGACTTCGTCCGCGTCTGTGTTCTTGCAAGTTCATCTTAAAAGATAGAGATATACTGTCATGTAAAGAGAAATAATTCTTTCATACATATTGTTTATGTATCTTGAACTTGTTATTAAGTTATACGTTTCGGTGTAGCTTCCCGAATATAAAAAGCCCATATAGGACGACAACACATCTCAAATAGACGTAATAAAGCTGGGTATTTAAACTTTCCACTAAGTAAACTGTTTATCCTTTATCGCATACATACACTGATACAGTATACAGTTGTCGTTATTTCTGAACACGATAGTATTATGTCATGAACAGTTTTATTATTACGGGGGAAGGAATTTTATACGTAGGCCGAGAAAACGGTTGAGTGCGTTTCAATATCAAGTTCAGAGGACAAGAACAAAGGAAGATCGACATAGTAAATGTTTGATATTTCCAACCTTCATATTTAACCTTCTGGATTATCCATAAGGTTATATGCCAGAAGAGCATAGTGAAATCCAATTTCCCCTCGTGGGCAAGTATTAGACGGTGGTTTGTGATCCGAACGGAATTTATATATTCCTATAATGCATTTAATAATATCCAGATTTCCAGACGAAGACCAGCATGTAGAAAAATTATTCATTTAATTATTAGCCCCACATTGCTACCATTAGACCAATGAGCTCGTCGTTTCACCGGTCTTCGAACCCAGGACCTCTCACGTTTAAACATAATTAAAACATTTGGCTGCAGAGGCCGAGAATAAAATCCTCGTTAATTTCAAAAGCCGCGTAGCAATAACGTAATTCTCTTAAAAAAGAACGGGGCAGCTTTCATAAAATTATGATATAAAGGACCAAAGTTAAATTAATTCCGCTTAAAACATTTTAAGAAGTCCTTTAAAATGAATAACTGCATAAGTTATGAACTAAATAAATTACGCTCAACAAGTTTTCAACGTACTGTGAATTTTTTAAAATTATACGAATTTGACCTAGTGAGGTTTTAATTTATTTGAGTTCACTCTTTTCTATAGCGTGACTACAGATTACATAAAACCGAGTTTAATAAACAAACTAACGAATATCATCTGCATCTATTTAAAAACAAGGGAAAAAAAGAACCGTGTCTTACTTTGTAAATTTTATAGATATCTATGTTAACTTTTGATAATATTTGTTAATATGAATTGCGTTGTCCAACATTGGAGTCCTGGTTCGATTCTCGAGGAATGATAATTTCGACCGGGTAGGGTAGATCTGATGAACACACTAAATATTTACTACTACTAAATACTATGATTTTATTAACGTTCTACTTGGAAATTGATGTCCTTTGTTTTATAACCATATTGTCATTTTTTATTACCTATATTAATAAATTATTTTTGATTAGTGAACACACAAATGTTGAAACAATTTTAGCTGTTTAATACGTGAAATATTTGCATTTCAAAACGTTAAGAGTGTTTTATTAAAAGATACATAAACTACAGATTGGATATCTAATTTTAATAATTAGGAAAGGACTTAGAATCAAACTTATTTTAAGTTAGAATTGACACAGATTATATTTCTATGCATATGCTATAAAACTATGAGTTCATGACTCCGCGTGAGCCAATAATTTATAATTAGTTTTCGCGAGTTCGCCAAAATGTAGAGCGCTTTCAATTTTAGCACGTTGGCCTCTAACGGGTTATTATATTTGCTTTTCTAAAACATCCCAATGATTTATTCGTGTTTGCGGAATACCTGTATTTTTTATTTAAAAGAAATTGAAAACTATTTTAAAAGATTCAGTTCAAATTATATGTATTCTCGTGTGTATTAAAATGATAAATTGTATGGTTTAAATAAAAAAAATACTACTTGTGTTTGAAATTTGATTCATCTTTGCCTAGTATGAATATTGGAAATAGGGTAAAGGTAGGAGACTTAGACTTTTAATGATGCTTCAGTACAGGTCAGTAGGCTTGATTTGGTGGTAAAATTAAAAATACTAACTGCAATATATTCACCGTTGTATCAAATTTAATATAGTTTAAAATAGTATCATTTTTATTTTGAACCGATGATGTTACTACTAGCCAAGTAACGAAGTGTTATTTTCAAAACAAAAATTTTCAAGTTTATAGAATACTTATGCAGGGTTTTTGAATGCGTGATTTTAGCCTTTGCAGGACGTTTTAAAAATAATCTAATATGCAATAACATCGCAAGAAAAAAAAATATTTTAGATTTAAATTGTATTATAATTTTAGTAGTGATATACTATTCTTAATTAGGTATTTTTTAGATTATTCTGTGTGTGTGCAAATAAAAGACTTATTAGGCCATAACTATTTTTTCTTTTCGAACTTCTTTATCGTTACTACTATTGCGATCTATGAAACTAGCAAAGCAAATAAACATTGGAATATCTTAAGCACAAGGTTAAACGTCGCAAACCTAAGGTTTACAATAAAATAAGGCGCATACCATCGTTGCAGATTAACTCTTAAACCAGTTCTTAGGGTTGAATAGCTTGAATTAATTTTACGTTAGTACTAATACAAACAGCCACAAGAACGGATAAATGAAATAGAATAAAACGCTAAAAATAAAAGTGCACTCATGTTCAACAACGACCGGACGTTTTGTAGCAGTTGTGGTCACGGGGAGGACACCACGACTGTTTTGTTTTTTAGAAGTACTGTGTATAAATATGTTAATCTAGTAATACCATGTTTCCATTACTAGATAACTGTTAAATAAGTTTATACAAAAGGGTCAAGTTAAGAGAGAACTAAATATACAATGTACGTGCATACTTGCGTATTAAAAAATAATTCTCGAATATAATAAGAACCAATCTTCAATGAGCTTAAGTAGGGTATTTTTTGTACATTCTTAATATGGTTCTATTCAAAATATTACCGTAGTAGATAAAAAGAAAATCTTCTCAATACATACTTACTCGTTTAAAACATGAAAAATCTACCATCCCTTGAGTGACATCCCTATATCATATATCTCTTGCTAAAGATTAAACCCTTGAGAGTAACTGAACACTAAAGTCTATATTTTTAAAGAGATAATAATACGTAATAGTTCTTATACTTTGTAAAATGCATATTTTTAACTAGGTGGCGCTGTTATACTTGGGGTTAAGTAAGGCTCTTACGTTAGATGGCGCTACACGTCCGACAGTATGACTTTTATTATTCGAATATATATATTTCATACTTTTCTTATTTTATCAAGCATACATACTTTATAAATTGAGTAAGGCTTTCACGGCCATCGATCAGCATATTATTGTCTTTCGGGCTGTTCGGCCGATGTGAGCGAGAAGAGGTTCTCGACGTTTCGCCATCACGTGTGGACGGCATCTTCTGTGTGATCTCAGAATTCTTCGAGCAATCGAGGAGTCAACATCTCCTGAAGATGCCGTCCACACGTGATGGCGAAACGTCGAGAACCTCTTCTCGCTCACATCGGCCGAACAGCCCGAAAGACAATAATATACATACTTTATGCTATTTATGAGAAATTCATAATATACTAATACATAAACTTTAGCTTATTTCAAGAAGTTCAATACCGTATTTATAGATGGCGCTTTAACCACTGTAAACGAAAATTGTATAAAGGAATATATTACTTTCGTAATTTCTTCAGACACTATATACATATAATAATACTAGATTATTCCACATATGTTTGCTATGCCCTTTCAGTTGATAGTTTAGAAAATAACGTTGACGGTTGACGTTTTAAGCTGTATTTTGGCTAATTCAATTTACAATTAAGATTGTTTTTCTTCTGTCTTTTTGTTATCTAGAATATATTATTTTTCAGCTAACTAAACTAAAGTAGCATATCGTTGTTTTTCGGGCTGTTCATCCAACGTAAGCGAGAAGACGTTCTCGACGTTTCGCTATCACGAACGGACGGCATCATCAAGAGATTTTAGGTATAAGAAAATGCTGAACGATGACCGTGAAAGCCTTACACAATTTATCGAACTAAATTATAACCTTTATTAGTTTTGCAAGCCTTGTTTAAAATATAGCCCCGATGAATACCCATTAACCTTTCCCTGTAACCTTTTACAAGATATTTAAATCGTGGGACATGGACGGCGAAAATCAATTTTAGAAATGCGAAACGTGCGACGAACTAGAAAAAAGGGATAATTCGGGTTAACGACATCCCTTTCGATATATTTTAGGAATCCCAGGCCACTCTACGTCTAAGAACTTCACTAATAAAGCCGATAATCCCTTGAAGGTAAATTAGCCGATATTAGGCTGGCCCCTTCGGTGAACGACATACAGTTTCGGTATTGACACAGTATTTAATTAGTGGTAGATGTTTCCTCTGACGCCTAAATACTTTGGATATTATGGCGAAAATTAACATAACAAGCTAACAGCATAGCTTTTACGGCCTGTGCAACGAACATTCTAGGTCTCAGGAAAATATGTGGCATACGATTTTTCTGCAATCAAACCTAGTTCCGTTCCTAGTATTAGAATAAAGTTACGCAAAACGTAGCTTATACTAATAGTGTGAAGCTGAAAAGTTTGTTTGTTAACGCTAATCTAAGGAACTACTGGTTCGAATTCAAAAAATATCTTTGTGTTGTATAGACTATTAATCGAAGGCTTTACGCTATAACATCAACTTGCGACTAAAACGAACGAAGAAACAGTGGTAAATGGCAAACGTTGCGAAAACGGTTCTAGCAAGAAAAAAAAATTGTGAGAATTGTATATAATAATGTTAATCTTGCAAATGTCGCCGAATCGACTAGTTATTCATATGCCTATAATAACCAATGGTAATAATTACCTTAAAGACTATTCAAACAGAAAAAATATATTTTCTTATTTACAACATCTGTATACATTATTACATGGCATAGAGACGCAATTAATTTAAGTGTCATCTTCAGCCGTCGCCAGCGCCATCTAGCACGTTCTCCTTCACATTTAATTTGTATTGAGCCCGGTCTCATTATTTAGTAGAGAAACATCAATACTTTAGCGTTGAATCAAAGTTGAGAGATATCACAAGTTGGTACGACTGGTAACAATATAACCTTGAACTTCGCCCAAATATAGCTATCGATCATCAGAGGTCCGTTATCCATTGGTACAATAGGAAATACTAATTAAAATTTTACATTCTATAACACACATGTAAAAATATATTGACAGGATTCGAACCCGAATCTCAAACGACAAACACTTGGAATCTACCAACATTTGTTAATATTCGGTGATTTACAATCTTTCTGAAATATGTTTTTCAGTTCAAGAAGATATTTTTTTAAGAATTGACATAGTCCGATAATATCGGATGAATGATATAACATATACAAATGAAGATTTAAATAAAGAACTTTATAATGGTTTGAAAAACAAACTATTATATTATAGTATGTGTGGAAGCATTAAAATATGAAAATCTCATAGTCTGCGGTACTGTTATTATTCAGATGAAAGGTCAAGACGTGCGGAACGTGTATTGTTACTCGAGTGGATTGTTTTAAATTTCTTTGTAATATGGAGGCAACGATCCGCAAAGGTACAGAGATCATTGCTTGCTCTTTAAAGCTTTGAACATAACGGTCGCGAGTTCTTCCAACTTTAGTGCCATAGTAGAATCAATTAGGTATTTTAAAGTGGGGGGGGGGATTTCTTCGTTATGGCTAATAAAAATAAAACTCTTTTTTGCACAAACATAGACTCTTAAAATGATATACACTAAATAAATGTGTTTATGTGAAGGCGGCCGTATCTATAGCGATTTCTTCCAGGCAACCTATGGTTATGTAGCAACTAGATTTATTTTAAAAGCTAGTTACAATGTTTTTTTTTTGTTCTGATATCGTTTCAGAAAAATTGGTTAAAGGTCGACTACGTGAAATACATAGTATAGACGATAGATTTAAGACTAGAATTCCATGAGTAGAATTCTTTTGTTTTTTGATTCAAGAAGCAAGTATCGCGACTACAACTATAAAACAAAGCCTATTAGGAAAATGCAATTTTAGGGTGCCAACAAAGAACGTGTGCTTCTAACATAAGTGCCCTTGTCTCAATGCGGTCTCTCCTTTGTTCGGATGGTGCTTATAAACGCATAGATATGCATTTTCCCTTCAGATTGATTTAACAATCCAGCCTTTTACGTCGGGTTTAGAAAAATATTGCTAGGGAGACGGAAAATGCAAGGTCGGCAGTATATAGGGTGCTTGCTGCCAATGCAGCACTCGCCTCAAAAGCTTGTTAAAACGCTGGAGAAAATATAAAATCCGTTTTTGCTTTGCTGTATATTTGTAGCTAAGTGATTGAAAAAGGTAATGGCGGACAATAAGTACCTTTTATCTTTTCTTTTATGATGAGTAGATTGTGACACTATTTCACATCATAATAATTATATTTATCAAATATCAAATGTTATACCTTTATATTGTCTGTAGTTTACGCGAGTAGCAAATTAAATAAAGGACTATAACGGTTTAAAACGCGAAATATATCAATTAACTCATTTTTAAATTTAGTTTAACCACGGCCCGTCGCTTGGAATGTTATGCGGCAGCAGTCGTGGACATAAATTAACAAATAAAGTTACGCTAAGTTTAAACCAAAAAAAAATTTAAACGTGTCTTGTTAGAATACACGATCATCATGCAAGTACCTAATGGCGAAATTCGAAGAACATAATAATATGTACAATGAGCGCTATGAAACAATAGTCGCTAAGACAAAACATATAGACACATTCTAAGGAATTGCAAATATAATGATACTATGTCATTAACAATAACATAATAAAGAATAGTTAAATTGGCAGAGTATACAAAAAAAATATATTTATCGAAATCACCTTTACTCTTCAAATTCACTTTGAATTGACTTCCTGACGTATATAGTTTCATATGCAACAAGAAGATGAGCTGTCAACCAATTTTGTCTTTGAATATTCGGAAATTCACATACTAAAAACGAAACGCGATTTTGCTTCACGGCTATTCATCTGTGGACGGTGGTTCGTGTCTCGGAGCGAATGTCGATATTCCTACCACCTATTTAATATCACGACCAGACGAAATACAACATACTGTCTATAGTTTACGCGAGTAGTACACATTTAAATAAAACACTTTAACGGTTTAAAACGCGATATATTAGTTAAACTGATTTGGAAATGATTTTTAACTTCGGCCCGACGTTTCGGTCTCCCCGTGACCACGGCTGCTGTAAAGCATCCGAAACGTCGGGCCGAAGTTAAAAATCATTTTCAAATCAGTTTAGCTAATATATCGCGTTTTAAACCGTTAAAGTGTTTTATTTAAAAGAAATACAACATGTTTCACAAAAAGATCGAATCCACGACCAGTTACTATTAAACCAGCGACAATGTCAAAACTATTATATATAGACTACTAAGTATAGCCTATTTTCAAGAGTTAGTACTCACATTAATCCGGTTCTTAGCGCGCTCTATCGCTTTGGAGTCGTCTCGCTCGGGACTCAAACGGCAGACCCTTGCTCGCCAATCGTTCGCCCCCGCCGCTTGTAGCGCAGCAAGCCTGGAAAGATATAATAAAAGAAATTAAAAATCTTTAACATATATCTATATATATATAGTAAGATATGTTTCTTTAGAATACTTAATATATCAGATTAGTTGCTAGTAAACGGTATTTTTAATATGCATATATAAGTGAAATGCCGCTGCCCCCCGTGGGGCATGGGGCGAACTGAGTCCGTTTTACTGATCGGTCTTTTACAGGCAAGCAGATTTTTAGGCTGTTGTTCTCTCGGGATTCGAACCCGGAAATTCTATTCTCGCTTGATGCAATGCTAGGCAACACGTTTAACCGTAGCTACAGAGGTAGTTGAGTATAGGGTCTGTGGTTAATTTTTAACAATCAAATATTTGCTATTTTGTTATAGTTTTTTTTTTTTAATTATGAAATACCATCAGTTATTATAAACTCTAACATTAGTACTTATTGTAACTATTACTAAGTAAATATTCCCTAACAGTTAGAAACCTACATCCGTATTGTGTTAACCGCGGGCAAGTCCTGTTTGTTCAGTTGCTTAAAATAATTACGGAAAACATGTATTTTGAATTATCCTATCCCTATGAAAACACACTGCCCCGTGACGCAATTGTAACGCGTTACGCGAAGATGTGTTTGAATCCCAGGGAAACATGATACAGAGAAGTTTGGTCCATGATACAAGTAGAGAAATCGGGCTTTATTTTTTTTATAACGGAAGTAAAATTGATAATGTTATCTCCAGACCGCTTTCTACAAGTTTAAGGATAGCGTTATCAATGCTATTACAATTGTACGGTTTCAAGCGTCGATAACAAGCTGTTCATTAAACTTTGTCATAACGCGTACATAACTGTCAAATCAGTTGCAGTCACTCAAATATACTGTTGTCTTACATTAGCTTCTAAATGAAACACTTTTAACGTTTAAAACACGTAATATATTAGTTAACTTAGTTACAAGTTACTTCAACTACGGCCAAAAATTTCGGATGCTTTGCAGTCTCCCATGACCACGGCAGCTAAATATAATAAACCTCATTTAACGGTTTAAGATGCGACAGAAGTTGACTAATATATTTGACGTTATAATTCGCATAACGTGATACTTGCGTCACCCTTCGCGCAAAAGATGTGACCACTGACGAGTATGATTGACTAGTAAGGCAACACGACGCTGCGTAACGCGTTACGCTACGTACAAATACAAATGCAAATGTTCTTTATTGTCACAAAACAAAACAACACAAAAAATTGATGGATATTAAGGACGAACGGCGACTTTATAGCTAAATAGGTATCTCTTCCAAGCAATCGTGGTCATAAAACAAGAAGAGAGTGTATTCTTCTAGTTTTAATCTACTTTGCTTTACGGCGAACGCTCTCAACGATTTATTTTTGTACTAATCCTGTTAAATCCATAATCTTAAGGACTTATACTTGAAGTAATTAGATATTTATTAGTGAAATAAGTACAAAAGAGCTAAAGAGAATTCTCTTATCTGTTAGATTTAAATGAAATAATCTTTTTAGTCCATTTATCGCTTTTTTGTTCTCAAATGAGTTACAGTACATTTCGGGGAATTGTATTTTAGGGCATTAGGCAAAGATAAGACTCACAAAGCCAATGCTAATGCGTATCTAGAGCCTTTTGTACCTTTGTTTTGTTTCGTTTTGCAACTTAAGAATACTTGATAAATAATAATTAACTATAGATAAGACCCTTCTGTAGTCTATCATTGCGTTAAGCAAGAGAAGTCTTGGATTTTAGGCCGTATTGATAAAGTAACAGAAGTCTACGTTCTTTAACTCCAAAAAGTCAAAACTATCATTGTACAATGCTTAAATAAACGTTTGGGATGAAAACAGTGGTACTAATGATAATAGTCAAATACTTCTGGAGTTATCAACATGTGTACCGATCAGCTTATCTAATACTAATTACTGTTAATTAGCTTTCTGGTCAATAACGGTACTTATGAGGACAAACAATACTTAAACAAATATCGGTTGAAACAGATTATCGCGTTATTGCATATATCATTATAAAACATACATTACAACACATAATTCCTTAATTTAAAGTCCAATAGATACATTGACATAAATGAATCCATTAGCTTATTATATCAAAGTGTGAAATCCCGTTAAGCTTGCGAGAAAAATGGCGTAGATACATTTTTGATTAGACATAGACTCTGTCTGTAGTTAGCGCGAGTAGTACACATTTAAATAAAACACTTTAACAGTTTAAAACGCGATTTATTTTAGTTAAACTTGTTTGAAAATTATTAAACGTCGGGCCGTAGCTAAAAATAACTTTTAAACAAGTTTAACTAAAATATATCGCGTTTAAAACCGTTAAAGTGTTTTATTTAGATAGAGATTTATATAGATGTTGAATTGTAACTATTTCCTGGAATTTTGTACCCGAACTACTTGCGGTAACATTTTTAAGATTTATATATTTTCAAGTCAAGCCAATGGAAAAAGTTCAATGACCAATAACTAAACACTAACTTAAGGCTAGAAGGAAACGACAGAGTACCTATTAACAACAACAAGCAATACTACATCCATAGATAACATTAAACAATCTGTCAAAAATTATTTTAAAATATAAAACTAACAATTTCAAATTATTCTCGTACGCTCGTTTAGCGAGCTTTTTGTATTGTACAACGCAGCTTTCGTGTTATCTAAGGCTTTCTTATATGTATATACTTGTATTCTTTATGTGCAGCAATATACCGGAAAGAACTTTAATTTGTGCTATGAGTGTTAAGCTTCGCAGGCACACTGTATAAGAAATAATCAACGCCGAGAATAATACCTTTTGTACTTGGTATTGTTTTTATTATGTTAGAGGAAGAAAAGCTTGATGGAATTGAGATACCCCGGCCATATAGCTGTCGCTGTCGACCTATTTTGTCTTTGGATATTCGGAAATCCAGACTGTTTCACCTTCACCTGTGCCCGGTGGTTCGCAATTCGGACGGAATTTCGATATTCCTACCATCCCTTTAATATTCAGACGTCATGTTTCAGAAAAAATGTGAACTGTTAAGAAACACATTTAAACTAACGATCCGTTGATAATAGTACGTCTTTTAAATAAAACACTTTAACGGTTTAAAACGCGATATATTAGTTAAACTTATTTGAAAATTATTTTTAAATAAGTTTAACTAATATATCGCGTTTTAAACCGTTAAAGTGTTTTATTTAAATGTGTACTACTCGCGTAAACTATAGATAGTATTTTATAAGTACGTCGCTAGCATTTAACCAACGATACCGTAAATATGGAGCTCTTAAAAACCATAATATAATTCTACGATAGTGTTTTTTGTGATTAAACCATGTTTCATTCAGTTTTACACGTGTCTGAATTATGAAGACATCAATAAATAACAATTAAGTGTGATGTGATGTGTGTTCTCAAATTTGTATACAAACTAAATATTATGATGAGACGATCAGCTTGAGCCCTGCCTAATGAAAAATTTTCAACGCATTCCCGGGATTCAAACATACAAAAACAACACGTTTAAGCTCAGGCCACGGAAGGAAGTTCTGGTATCAATTTATGTGTTTAGCACACATAAATTATATTGCGTATATCTCACATAACTAACTCAGAGCCTTATTAATTTTAGCCACTGACCTTTCGGCAATTGTGCCCCCTCGATGCGGCATATCGGCATGTGTGGCGCTTCTTTGAACCCCACCACCGAATCTGTCAATAAAAAACAACAACTTTACTAGAAAATATATAACATTCGAAATTTGTATACATCACATTATTTGGCATTACTTAACTAAATACATAAGTAATAACATACGGAAGTCAAAAAACATGACTTGTTTTTTTGTATTGTTTATATGAGCTTTACATGGTATGGGAAAAGTTTTTTAAACAACTAACCGGAGAACATATGGCTTTCTCTCAGTTATAAGTACGTATAAAAACACGCAAACTCAATACTGAAACACAGTAGACCAAACTGAAAACCTATCACAGTATATTGTGCTAAGCCCATAAAAATTACCTCGGCTGTTCAAACTTCTCCTTCAGACTCTGAAAGCTATAGAGCCGCTCCTCAACTTGTCTCACCGACAACATTTTGTGCCCGTTTCACTTATAACACGAGTAAATTTCTCTCTTAAAAATAATTACTAATGTTTATAAAACGACGTCAGTCTATTGAGTGACAAACTGTGACATTGTGTTTGGGTCGCGTTCAAACGATAACTAACCCGTCAGCGGTTGACATCTGCTCGAGCTTATGTACGTCGCAGGACTGTGTTGTCCTGTCTAATAATAATAATTGTTTACTAAATGACGGGAAATGTTTCTTGATTGCCATATTTATGGGAAGTCGCCATCGAAATAAACAGTCATATTTACGGAAATTCGGTTTATGATAACACTAGTGATGCCTGTAGTTAAAGGTAAAAGGTGTTAAATAAAGCCATTTTAACAATTCGAAACGCATATACAATCTTTTTGTTTTACTAACATCCCAAGTTTTTGGTGTTTAGCAACAGAACTGCAGAGGATACGACCAGTGATTGTTAATAAATCAATATTCTTGTTTAAAAAATTTTAACTTTTTCCATAAATCTAGTTTTATAATAATCGACATCGAAACGAAAAGACATAGGTAAAGATGATATTTAAGATTAATAGGTAAAAATATATCAGCTGTTATTACAACTACCTTCGCATCAAAAAAAAACAATCTAAAGGAGAAGGGAACGAACACTTGTAATCATAATTTTAATCGATATGGAATTAAAAACTTACATCTGTTTTCACATATATATGGTCACTTGACACAACAAACTACTGACTATGAACTAACTTAAGAATACAGAGAAAAATTTCAAACAGAACTAAGAAGTAAGATATGGAACCGTGACACAGTTATACTAATGCAGTTATATGTTAATAACAATTAGCGAAGCGATGGAGGAAAACAACGCCTCATAGATAAGTCGACCTCATATTTGCATTATCCACTTAACACTTCCTTCGTTACAGTAAATTATTCCGTTTTAATCACCATTGTTCCTATTAATTGTTGTTAAAACGCTTCCAGTAACGATAGTGACATTATTTTTAATTAACATTTAATATAAATGCATGCAAATTTAATTTTTCGATATTAATTTCAGTTTGAGATAATCTTTTATGATACTAAAGGTCTACCGAGTTACGTTCCAAGTCTACCTTAGTTAAATTACTAGATCTATTATGTTAAATTACGAACCAGTGACTGAGTTTACTTTAAGATTAAATCTATAGATAAACGAAATGAAAATAATACAAGTCATAAATAGTAATTAATTACAGCAATATTTAATTTAATATGTAACAAATGGATTATCTATATACACTTGCCATGTAGATTTATCCGTTATACATACCGATAGTGAAAACAAGAACCACTTTATTCCGGCTAACGGTATAACGGTAAACGTGCGCGCCTTAACGGGACCGCAGAGCGACTGCAAGGCTTTCGTTTGGGCGGGCGGGCGGCGTTAACGCGAAGCCTATAACTCGAAGTTTGCAATAGTATAATGAATTCATTATACTATATTATTATACTATTTGGACTATGTATTTAAATTTTAAAATACAATAAGTAAAAAGGTATGAACTTATAAATGAACTTCGTAACGAAACTATCGTTACGATATACTCAGGGTTCACTTTCGTTTCTTCGGTATAATTGAACGAAAAGAAAAGACGTATAAGATGTGAATAAAACATAACCGATTTAAACTAGAAATATATCGTTAAGAACAGTTCCTTAATCCGAGTTCATCATCATACTTAGAACAGAGGTAATCTTTAACGAACTGTATAAAAGCATCCCTAACAAAACAAACCGCTTTCAAACGCAAGTTGGCTTCCGTTTAGCATTCTCCATACATGAAATATTAACAATGAAACTTCGCTGTACCGTCTACGCCAAGCCGCTATACTCAGACTGCATTGTGAACAAACAAAGGGAGGCTCCGCGGCGCGTTACTCATTAAAACACTACTTAAGGTTCGACGAAGATACGACATCCTAAGCAAGCACGATTAAGTTGCTTGTCGTATAAAAAGCGCGTATGCCTTTCAACTTTGAAGGATTATTATCACTTTGTATTTCAGTTTCGCCTCTTCAGTCAAGATAAGTCAATGGTGGTGGTGCTACGCACGTGATCAATTGTATGTCGAAAGAAATTAATTGAAACTTCAGGATAAAGGACAAAATATGTGACAATATGACAAGTATATCTATATATCTGTCATTACGTCATATAAAAACCAATTGAACATGGACACCTCAAAAATAACAATACAATAATACTATATTATTGCATTTAGATAGAAAAATAAATAAATAAATTATAACAATAATTTTACGACACGAGCAGCATCCGGCATCCATAGAGTATCGTCCTGCCCGTGCGAATTTTATTCTTCAATATTAAATCGATTTCTAACTTATACAGTACCATCATATGAAAAATAATAAGTTTTCAAATAAATATCATTACAAATACGTAATTTAAAATATTTGCTAAGATATCCAAAGCCATACCATCATAGGGGCTTTAAAAAGCACCGCGTCTGCGCAGTCGAAAGCTCATGCAGTATAATAATTAGATAACACGGAAGGCTAATCAAATTCGAAGCCATAACGCTTCGTTAGCAGCCAGGGTAGGACGTCAGCTATCAATTGCTCGCGATCGGTTTCTACGTGAACGCGACATGCACGCATATGCAAATATCTGTAGGTATAGTTCAATACGCAAATTGTAGGGCATCGCCCGTCTCGCCGTTCCCAGGCGTTAATCCAGCTCAATCTAGACAATGAACTTGTGATAAAAATTAGAGGGAGCCGTATTGTTTCTTGGGTTGTTGTGGAGAGAATTCTTAATTTTGATGATTATTTTTTTATGTATTATTTATTTGTTTATAGGACAGTCAAGCGATATTTCGGCTGTGGATATTCCGAAATCCTCAGACGAAGCCGAAACGCAATTAAACTGGACTTGGAGCCCGTAAATTATTGTAGTCCACAAATTTGGACAATATAGTTTTTTTACATAAATATAGCAAAAATCAAAATTACTACCATGATAAACGGTTTTAATCAGTAATATTTTTTGTAGTAAACATTACTTTGAGACCTGTTGCGTAATCGACTTTTTCTAGAAATATTAAAGTACAATTATTTTTTTGGAATAAGGATACTTTTACTATTATTAAATACACAAAGCTAGACAAGACTAAAACAATAACACTCGAATGTCATATATGGAACAGTTCCGTAGCGTGGTGGCCGGATGAAATATGTGCGAGGGGCGGCAAACTCGGGCTTTTCCTGGATAACCGGAAAATGCGATACTCGCCCGGGCGGAATTCAGCTGAGGCACGCAGACCGTTTTATGAAATCGTGAAATTGTTTTGGCTAGACGTTTGTTAAGGACTCTAGTATAGAAACCGAATTAAACGTTGAAAAGCAAACCTTGTAAAATATTAATAAAGTATGATTTGTACTAAGAAATGTGCATCCATTTGCAACGTGGTTTTCTGGAATTTATCGCAATACAATTAATCAGAGTACACTCTGTTAATTCCGTTCTAAATCCGTGTTTTTAAACCGTCAAGAAGTTTTTTACTCAATAAATACAAAGTAGTTTAACAAATAGTTTAAAACACGAAATATATTAGTTAACTTTACTCTGCACCGTTTGTGACCACCTTTTCTGGAAAGCATCGAAAACGTCGGGTCGTAGTTAGAAATAAATAAAAAAAGAGTTACTTATTAATTTTGCACCTTAAACCGTTTAGTGTCTTATTTAAATGTAATAGCGTAAAATATAGATAATACTAACTCCTACTGTGAGACGTCCACATTAAAACTTCAATATGACTCTAATTGTAAATACACATAAGTTAACTTTAACATACTTATTGGAAGAAACGAGTCACCCACGACACAGGCTTGCCTACTAGGGACTCTCTATCTGCATCATGTATACGCAAACATAATAAAGAAATTTTGATAAATTGTGTAAGGCTTTCATGGCCATCGATCAGCATATCATTGTTTTTTTGGGCTGTTCGGCCGACAAGCGAGAAGAGGTTCTTGGCGTTTCCGCCATCACGAGCGGACGGCATCATCGGGAGATGTTAGCTCCTCGTCCTCGAATAATTCTTTGACAGAAGAAGAAATTTAGATTTTTTTATACTTTGTGATAACTAACTTAATACCATATAAAGTGGACGCGACAATAACAAGAAACTGACTACCATAAATACATTATCTAATGTAGTGTAAAATTAAGCCGTACCAACTTACGCGGATACAACGGAGACATTTTAGTCATTCATCTTGTTATATGATTAGCAGCTTTCTCTGAACGGAAGGTCCAGTTACACTAGTCATCGTATGATTGCCGTACTAAACGTCCAATTACGGAGATTATGCACGCACGACAAGAAGACCCCATGTTTACAAGAATTATTAGTGTCATGTGACCACATAATCTTCTATTAACGACATAATATATAATAGTAGTTACAGAAAATATTGTTGGAATCTAAAGGTAAACATCGATTGTATTAAGTTATGAGTATTTCAAAGTTTAGAACGGGTTGACTCCCCGTGACCACGGCTGCATCAGAAACGTCGGAGCATAATTAAAATAATGATCAAATGAGATGAACTAATATATATCGCGTTTTAAATCGTTAAAGTGTTTTATTTGTATGTGCTACTCGCGTAATCTACAGACAGTATTTAGTATTTAAAAGGTCAAATTAAGTCGGCTCATACGCCGACATGGCCTCCCATAACAAATGGATCGTGGTCTGTCTATTTTTATAAAATTACTTAACTAAATTATAATTGTATAAAATTGAAATTCCGTTCCTCCTCGTGGGATATGGAGTGAAAACATTTCTGTGCCCGTGTCACTGATGGGTTTTATGAAAGCAAGTAGTTGATCAGACCTCTGTGCCTCATCGAAACAAATTACTTCCCCAGGATTCGAACCAAGGACATCTCACGCTTAACGCAATGCTAAACAACGTGTTGTTATAAACCGTTGTTTCGTA